TCGTCGTCGTCGTCGTCGTCGTCGTCCGCAGCCATTTTGGCTCAGGCGAGCCAGGCGACGGGAGGCCCCCGCTCGGTTGCGCGCGCCTCGCTGCGTGCAGGGGTGCGCGCACGCGGCCGATGGCGGACCCCGAGCCCGACAACAAGAGGCGCTGGGCGGCGGCTTCGGCGCGGACGCCGGCGCGGCGAGGGCGCCGCGAGCGGCGCCTGAAAGGGCAGGCGCGTCGAGGGCGCAGGCGCGCGGGCGGCGCGCCGGCACATTGCGGAAGTCGCTGGGGGCCCACTGGGCTGTGGACGACGCGATCGGGGGCCACGAGCCTCCGATCCTGGCGGCAGCGGGCGCGGCCAGGCTCCTGGGCCCGAGCGAGCTTGCGGCCGAGGCCGGGGGCGGCGCGAGCGGGGCCAACTGGGCTCGGCGCGCCGGCCCGCCTGCCCTGGCGAGGATGCCGCAGACGCCCGCAGGGGTCGTGACGCGGGTGCTCGAGGACGTCCGCGGGCAGCTGCATGCCCCTGCGGCAGAGCAGGAGCAGGCGGTGGACCTGCTGCTCGCGGCCCTCGGGGGGGTTCAGAGCGGCGAGGGCGCGGACGAGGCGGAGCAGGAGGCACCCGTGGAGGCGAAGGGGTGCAGGAGTCCGACAAGTGGGAGTCGGAGGCCGACATCGGGAGCGAGGGCATGGACGAGAGCGTCTTCTGACATCGTCGGAGACGAGCAGGACGAGGACGAGGAGGCCTACTCGCAGAGGGCCGGAGTCCGTTGGCGACGACAGGGGTTCGAGGGCCAACCTCGGGGGCGTGGAGCAGGGCCTGCAGCACGAGCAGCCCGGGGAGCAGGGCGAGGGCAGCGCCGACGTGAGCGACTACGAGGGCACCTCGAACGACGAGCTGGGTGCAGGCCGTTTCGCAGGGGTGCATGTGGAGAAAAACGTCGCGGTGCAGCGACGGGCAGCGAGGGACGGCAACGGCGACGAAGAGGCCAACCTTGACGAATGTGCTGTGGCCCAGCCGGAGGTCGCTACGGCGATCAGCGCAAACAGCGCTGGCCTGCACGGAGATTCGAGCCGCGGGTCGTCGAGCGGCTGGATCGCCGTCCAGAGCGGGGAGGCCTTCGAGGAGGCGGTGCGCGCCAGACGCGCGGACGACGACATCTTAGCGCAAGTGGACCTTGCTGGTCCACCAGGCGGAAGGCAAGGGCAAGGGCAAACGGGCGAGGAAGCTCGCGAGGGCGGAAGCGGGAGCCAGCTGGCCAGCGAGGCAGAGCAGCTGGAGGACGAGGCGCTGAGCGGCGCATGCGGAGCTGCAGCGCACGTAGCTCGGCCACGGGGGACCAAGCCTCGTCCCCCGTGGCACCGTCAAGCATCGTCAATGGTCGAGGGGTTTCCAAAAAACCTCAAGGTGACTCAAAGATGGCCCACGCGGACCCAAATATGGGCCCAAGATGGCCCCCAGCCCGCCCCAAGAGCGCCCAAGAGCGCCCCAAGGACGCTCCAAAAGGGCCCCAAGAAGCGTTCGCTGGGGCTCTAGAGTGGCGAGGCTAAATAAGGACCCCCCTCTTCTGTGATCGATTCCCTCCAAGATGGCCCCGAGAGGGCCCCCAAGGCTCCAAGAGGGACCGGAAAGAGCCCCAAGAAGGGCCCAGCATGACCTGAAAGCTCCAAGGCGGCCCAGGTAAGCTGCAAAGAGGCTTACATCTCGAAAGGTCTGCGAAGGCATTGATGGTTGACTCATGGGCCTGCTCGGGCATATCCCAGACTTCGGTTTGACGGCTGCCCGCCTTTTTTTGTTCCACTGCGTGCTCCCACATTTCCCTGATCAGCGCAATTCGCCTGGACGTCGTTGCCGGATCGGCTGGCGGGGATACTTGTTGGCACGCGGACGCGCGAAACGGGTCGAACGCCAGGCAAGCAGGGGCACGTTGTGCCACCGGCTAAGGGAAAAAACAGAGATGCGAACAACGCCAGGCACACAGCGGGACGGAGCTCAGCGCGGCCAAAATAACGCGAAAGGCACCACGCAGCGGCTCAGGGAGCACGATGAGGAAGGTGCCGAACTGGAGGCTAGTGGGGATTTTTTTGATCGCAAGCGATACGGAGGTGCCGCACGCCGACAAAGTCATAGCGCGCAAGCTACGGCCTAATTTGCGCAAGAGTCGGGGCAGGGAGACAACGAGAGAAAGGACGGCGGAAGATACAAGCAGCGGGCGAACCTCACTGCCGCCCAGAAGAGCGCCAGCACCCGGCGAACAGGAGGGCGACGTGCAGCACCACGAAGTACTTGAAGTCCTCGGCCCAGAAGAGGAGGAACAAAATGTGCAGGCGCTCGACGGAAATTCCGGATCGCCGAGCAGCGGAAGGTGCGAGGAGTCGGTGAGAGCCAACGCCAGGGGACATGAGGAGGCCCTGGTGAAGGCAACGTGGGGGAGGACCGGGTGTCCGTCTACCCCGGGCGGAAAACGGCGGCAGACTAAACGCGAGCCGCGGGCCCAGGAGCCCTGGAGAATTCCCGAAATAGGGAGAGGCCAGCAGGCGAACCTCGGGCAGCGGCCAGAATTTCGCACACGCTGGGGCGACATCGCTATTCCGAACGGCGGAAACGTTGCAGCACCGATCCTGACATGTGGCCAACGCTGCAGCAGGAGCGCAGTCTTGAGGGACCGAAGAAAGAGAAAGAGGGAGAGAGAGAGAGCGAGAGAGAGCGAGAGAGAGAGCGAGAGAGAGAGAGAGAGAGCGAAGGGAGGCAGGAAGAGGGGGGGGAGGCAGGCAGGGCAGGAGGCAGGGCGGGGGGAGGGAAACCAAAGACGGCGTTTTCTCCCACGCCCCACCGCTTTGACCTCCGGATCCGCGAGGTCGAGCCGGGCCCGCCGACTACACCCGTGCCGGAAAGACTGGCCCCAGCTCGTGCCGCGTGCCGCCTGGGCGCGAGCCAACCGCGCACACCGATCCCTCCCGGGCGACGCGCCGCGACCCAGGGCGGCCCGGCCAGCATCGGCGTGTGCGGGCACCCGGCGGCCGCCGAGCGGTGGTGAAGAGCAGCCGCCGCCTGGGCGTGCGGGATGCCCGCTGGCCGCGGGGGGCTCGGAGGCCTGGGGCGCTCGGAGGGGGACCCCCCCCGCGCCCCCGCTCGACGGGCAGGCCCGCACCAGTCCCGAGGTTGCAGGCTCCATCTGCAGAAGCCCTTTGTCGGGCGCGGCCTGAGCGGGCCGGCTCGAAGGAACAGCGGGGGCCACAAGCCGTACCCGAGCGCCGCTGGGGGGCCAGCGGTGCCCTGGTCGCGCGCGGGCGAACAGAAACGTGTTGCCCTCCGGTCGCGGCAGCTGTATGCCCACACAGCTGCGGTGGCGGGAGGGCTGCGCAAACGCCGACGGGTGATTTTCCTTCTCGCTCCTCCTGCTCCTGCTCCCACTTCACCTCCTCCGCCCGATGCCCCCCAAAAGCTCCCAAGAGGCTCCCAGGAGGCCCCCGAGGAGGAGGAGGAGGAGGACGACGACGACGACGATGTCGACGGCGCTAATCACGCCTCGCTCCCAGCCGCCGCCAGCAGCGCTGCACCCCGGAGACCCTGCTGCACGCGCCCTGGCACGGGATCCGCGTAGAGAGCGAGCCCCTCCCCCGTCGCTCCTCCTCCTCCTCCTCCTCCACATCCTCCTCCTCCTCCTGCTCCTCCTGCTCCTCCTCCTCCTCCTCCTCCTGCTCCATACTCCTGCTCCCTCCTTCTGCTTCTCCTCCTCCTCAGCGAAAAGGAATACTCGTGGGGACTTCTGAGGAGGAGGCTTGGGGCGAGAGTGCGATAGTGCGTATCGCATCATAGCTGATGCATCTTGGGTTTCATTGCTCTGCTCCTCCCTCCTCTTCCCGACCCTGCTCAACCGCCTCCCTCCCTCTCTTCCGCATCCCCTCCCTCCTCTCTCTCCTACTCCTCCTCCTCCTCATCTACCTTACCCCTCTTCCCCACTCCCTCCTCGAGGCTGCGTGCGCGCGCGGTGCACCGCTTCCCGCCCGCCGCGCCCCATCGCGCACTCTGCCTCGCGTGCCCGCCCACCATGTCGCGGCCAAGCGCATGCAGGCCGTGCTTCTCCCTGGAGCTGGTGCAGGACTTCGTTGCAGACAAGACGACTCATGTCCATAGCCACTGCGCCTCGGACTTTCTGCCTCCCTTCCCCAGAAGCCGGAAGCGCAGCGGAATTGGATAAAGATCCGGCCTCTAGCGAGGCCCGCCGAACTCAGTCGCAGCTGTCCCCTCGACGCGGTCTTGTGGCCTGGGGACTCGGCTCGCCGCTCTGTGGCTCCCAGACGAGGGCAATCCCTCGGCCCGTACGGCAGTCCCTCCCGCTGCCGCCGCCGCCACCACTGCCTGATAACGTCAGTCGTGCCATCTCGGGCGCAGCAATGTCAACTGTTGCTCCCAGTGCTAACCCTCCTCGCCCAATGAGGGCTGCCTCCTTGCTCCCAGTGCTAACCCTCCTCGCCCAGGACGGGTCCAGAGCCGCCGCGGGCCCACTGGGCGAAGACACGGCGGAGCCGGATGTTCCTTTTGACAGCGCCTCTTTGAAATTACCCGCCACGCTGCAGAACACGTCATGCGCACCGCCGGCCTGCCAGTAAAAACCAAGCAGGCCTCCTGCCTGCTTGATTTTTGCAGAAACCAAAACGGCCAGCGACCAAGATCTGGAGTCCCGAAGCGGTGCGGCGACACACCGTGCGGTGACCTCGAAATCCCCCAAGAACTCACCGCACGGTCCGTCACCACACGGTCTTGGGACCCTGGAGGCCCCTGTCGCCCGAGACGTCCTCGGAGAGGGACTCGAGTCCCAAAACCGTGCGGTGACCCCGAATCCCCACCGACTCACCGCACGGTGTGGTCACCGCACCGTTTGGGGACCCCCGAGAAGAGCAAGATGGGCTCTCTATGCAGAGCCGGGGCGGATATCCCGATAGCCTCGGGGCAAGCGAGCTGCGGCCAGCGCCAGATCGCCTGCTTCGCTCTCGGGAGAAACGCCGTGCCACATCACAAGCCCTCCTCGCTCACGGGCGCCTCGCCCGCTCCCATGAGCATCTTGTCCAGGTCGGACAGCGGGAAGTGCATCAGGCGCCCGCGCAGCCCGACCAGGTCCTTGAGCATGCTGGACGGGTCGGCGCTGAAGCCGCAGCCACGGCGCGCGTCCTGCGTCATGCGGCGCACCTCCGCCGCGCTCGGGAGCTGATGTCCATCTGGACAGCCCCTGTGCTGTGCGGCCGCAGCCGCCCCACCGGCGCCATCCGCATCCTTGCCATCCAGCCGCAGCCTCTCGGACGCCACCTGCAGCACGAACCCGTTCGCGCCAAGCACGCCCTCGTCCCGCAGGCGGTCGCAGAGCCAGACAGCAACAGCCGGGTCCATGTCGTCAGGCATCAGCCCAGGCTGCAGCATGCCCAAGAAGGCCCCGAGCCCTAGCTGCAGCCGGCGCTGGGAGTACTGGCAGTCGCCGGCGAAGAGCTGCAGCTGCGCCCAGCGAGTCCACAGCTCGGCGTCGCTGCCGTCGCGGTCGCTCGCCCCCGCCTCTGCGGTGGTCCGGGGCCGAAGCGGAGGAGGAGGGAAGCTCGAGGGCGCGAAGGGCCTCGCGAGCTCGTGGAGATGTGCCACGGCTTGCTTGGGGTCAGCCCGTCTCAATGCAGCAAGCACGTGCTCCGCCTCGCGGCCGGAGAGAAGCACGTAGTGGTGCTGCATGGTCGTCGTTGCTCTGGTGTACGGAGGCGCACCCCCCTGCTGCGGACGAGCAGCAGCAGCACCAGAAGCGGCGCAGCAGTGGCTGAGGACGAACTCCGGCGGCCGGAGGAACTCGTCGGCGTCACTGCAGAGGTTCACGGTGCGCGTGAAGTTCTCTGTGGCGCGAAGCGCCGGGTGGAACTTGACCTGCAGAGACGCGAGCCAGTTGGACAGGACGTGGGTCCGCTCAAAGTCCCTCGTGAGCTCGACGAGCTTTGGGTACCGGCCCGATCCCGATGCCGAGCCCGAGCAGCTCTCGATGAAGCTGACCTCGACGACGCGGTGCCAGTCCCAATCGCTCTCCTGCCTTGCTTGCTGCACGCCGGGCCGCTCGATCTCGCGCTCCTCTTCCTCGACCTTCTCCAGCTCCCGCTCGTACTCCTCGTCCAGGGAGCTCCGCACCACCCAGCGCTGCGACAGGTAGTCGTCCGCCCTCTGTTTGATCTGGCGCAGCGGGCCCTTTGCCGCCTCCTCGGCCAGCTGCGCCGCCTGGGCGTGCGGCTGGAGCACCCGGCAAAGGTTCATGCGGGCCTGCTCCATCTTCGTGCACACGAGCGTGTCGGCCCGCAGCTTCTCCAGCGGGCGGCCGTACATCTCCTCGAGATCCAGCACATCCGCGTCGAGCAGGAGCTCCCTGGCCAGCAAGAAACCTGGGCCCTCGTCCTCCAGCAGCCTTCGCACCGAGACCTGCCTCGTGTGGACGGCGCCCTGAGAGCTCCACTGCACCAGCGCCTCCTCCTGTTGCTCCACCGTGTTCACGCACGCCCAGAGCAGCACCGCCCTGCTGTCCAGGCTCTCTCGCGGGACGCCAGTGGTCTGCACGATGCTGCGCGTCACCTCCTCCGTGCCGCAGAGTAGCACGCTCTGGCCCACGCCCAGCTGCCTGAGCCGCATCGCCGCTTGCACCTAGAGGAAAGGGGAGTATGCATGTGCGCCGAACCTGGCCTGGACCATCCTGGGCTCAGGATAGGTGGATTCGCCCTCCTGACTCGGCCAGGGGCCAGGAAGACAGAGCGCAACATTTAGAGTTCACGGCGCCCCTCCGGGGACAAAGTGCCACCCACCGTGCGTGCACTCTATACACGTCAAATCGGTCGTGCACCCTATATGTTTCTATGTTGAACGCGGGCGTGCACGCTGAACGTTTTTACGTCGGCAATACGTTTACCTTGCCACTTTCTTGGGCACGAGGACTCAGGAGGGCAAGAGGACGGAGGAGGACGCACGGGGGCAGCTGGTATATGGTGGCGTGAGCGGCGAGCGGGGAAGCGGGCGGGGAGCAGGCAGAAGCAGAGGCAGGGAGGCTCAAGAGCGAACGAGGGGACTGGGGAGGGCAAAACGTGCCTGGATCGGCACACTCACAACTAAGACAACATGTTGCCCCAGATCGGCTCGCGAGGGGGCGGGGAGGGGCGGCCTCAAAGCAGGAGGACTCGAGAGGATCTTGCCCGAAGGGGAGGAACGCACACAGGACGAGGACATCGCCGAGGGAGCCGTCGCCCAGGATCCACACCAGCCCGCGACGCCGACGGCGTAATGCTCGCATAAGTGGACAGCGTCGCTGGGGGCGTCATCGATCTCCTCGCGAAAGTCGGAGCCCATGGTCTGACGCCAATCGATCCAGCAAGCGGCGACGCTGAGCCCGAACACGACAACGGGGCTTGCGTTCTAACGCCACCGCAAACAGCGGCGCGCAGATTTCCTCCGGCAAGTGGCGACGCAGAGCCCGAACACGACAACGGGACTTGCGATCTAACGCCATCGGCAGAGAGGCTGCCATCGAGAACTCCAGCAGGTGGCGACGGTGAGCCCGAACACGACAAAGGCGCTTGCGTTCTGACGCCAGCGGCGATGGCGCCGCCGCAGATTCCTCCAGCACGCGGCGACAATGCGCCCGAACACGACAACGGGACTTGCGCTCTAACGCCGCTGTGACTATCCGCAGGGGCAACGCATCCAGCAAGTGGCGACGGTGAGCCCGAGCAAAATAACAGGACTTGCGCTTTAACGCCGAGGGGCTGAGAAGCCGTCGAAGAGGAGCGATCGAGAGTGCCGTCCATCAGGGCCACCACGTTCTGCAGCAGGTACTCTTTGGCGGCCTCCTCGAGGTCGGTGTCGTCGATGTCCATTGACGGCGGAGACGTAGCGATCAATGTAAGAGCAGTCGACGACGAAGCAAGCGACGGGGGCGCGGCCGCCAGGGTCGAGCAGGTCGATGGCGAAGAAGGCGACGGCGGCGGTGTCAAGCGAGGCCCAGCACCAGCAGGCGCCAGGGCGCACGGCGCCGCAGGGGAGGGGGCCGCCGAACGGGCCGACCGCGGAGAGGAACACGAGCTGGAGACCGCAGGCGTCAGCCGCGGTGACGGAGGCGCAGAGCTCGACGGCGACGATGAGGGGGGCTGCAGCCGCGGCCTGCGCAGGAAGTAGTCGCGGTGCTGAAGGGCCTGCCGCCCCTGCTCGGTCGGGGCGAGTGGCGCCGCGAGCGCCGCGGCGCGAACGCCCGCCAAAGCCGCGGGGAGCAGCTGGGCGGGGGACGGCGGCCAGGACTCGATGAGGCGCGTCTCGTTGTACATGTTGTAGGCGGCACGCACGTGGCCGCGCGCGACCAGGGAGGGCGGCGCAGGGGGCCAGCGCTCCAGCCAGGGCAGTGGGACCGGGCGCGAGAGCGCGCAGAAGAGCGCCGAACATCACGGGACACCTCGCGTAGTGGCATAGAGGGTCGGGGCGCCCGAGGCAGCCGCGGGCGCAGCGCCGACGGCCGAGCGGCGAAATGCCCCGCGATGATGCGAGCCACGCGCCCAGCCACGTTCGGGGCGCCGCCCGGGCCCGCGAGCAGGGGCAGCGACGGAGGACGGCGGCGCAGGCGCCCGAGTCGATGGTGGTGAGGTCTCGGGCGCGGCGACCTGCGAGCTGAGTGGGGCGGCGGAGCGGCGGGGGGGCCAGGCGTAATGCCATTTGGCGTTATACTCGTCACATCAGCGCTCGGAGCCTGTATCCATGATCCATCAGATCCCCCTGCAGGTGCCCCCGCATGGCATGCGTTCATCATGGGCACATGTGGGAATACAGTCGGGAGCGGATAGGGGCACTTCAAGTTGTAGGGGGTATCTGGAATAAACCAATTCCCCAAAGATGACGCATCATTGCGAGTCTCGTACATATCATCAATTCTGGCGCTCGTGCACGGCTGGCCGTCGCGCTTCAAATATAAAGGGTTCATCCATACCTGCCCCGCACGATTGCGCTGACAAGTGTGGTTTGGCAAGATCCCGGTCAACTGGGCGATGTGAGTGGGAGGGGTACTGCCATTGCGGCCTGCTGTCATGACGATATGATTCGCCGAGCGCCATACTGGAATGTTGTCCTGAATCCGGTTCTTCAAGCTAACCATGATCCGGACCTCAGAATCCATGCGTAAACCTGATTGGGTTCTATTGTCACCAGGAAGGTATGGGCATCCATGCACGAACTGTCTGCCCCTCTTCTCACTGGTGTCGTCGGCGCGACAAGATAGCCCGATGCTGAGAATACTTGGTTTCTTCTCCCATTGAGTTCCATGAGTGGAATACCGAGGTGCCCCAGGAGCTGATAGGCCAGTGATCCTCATATATAGGGATTCGGGGCGCCCGGTGACAGGGCTGCTGTGCCCGTTGGTCGTGCGGATGAAGCAGGTGTCGTAGGTCGTATCCGAATGCCTCATCTACTTAATCTGCAGCCTGCTCTTTTTCATTCTGGACTCGTCTATCATGCCGATGAGCTCCAAGACAGCGTTGGCCTGATCCGCCCAGTGGCGATGTTTAAGCAGACGGCGTACCGTGTCGAGATGTTTGGGGTGGTGCCTTGCGCATCCTTCTGCAGGCCATGTATTGAGTAGCTGCGAAAGTCTGCCCAACCGTCGCACTCGTCATAGGTCGTAACTTCGCGAATGAATCTGTCTGGCAAGTGACCATTGCGAAATGGTTTGTGACGGGAGGCTGTTGTCAGCAACTCAGACACCTCGCCTTGTTCTCCATGCTGGAACCTCGGCCTGCGAACATTGTCCGTGCTGAGGGTGTTCTCCAAATATTCCTTCTCTGACTCCAACGTGAAGGCGGGGCGCTTCCGCAAGATGTGGCGCACTGTTTGGCGCGCGCGTGCGCCTTCGCCAGCATGGGCAGCAGCGCCCATGATGTTGCATTGCACATCCATGTAGCGATCAGCTCCATCATCCTTTCGCGGCTGATATGCTGGATCGATCTTCATGCGGTTGCCTGTGCGCATTCTGTCCCAGTATTCCTTGCATTCCGGCGGTACCTCCAGCGTAGGGGCAGGTTGCCCCGCTGGATTGTTAGCAGGTTGCCCCGCAAAACTCTGGGCAGGTTGCCCCGCGGACCGCGGGGCAGCCTTTGGCGCTGGCGTTGCAGGCGCTGCTGCGCTCGCAGCCGAGAGCCAATGCGGTAGCACCAACAGAACCCTTGGGAGTCCTCGGAGTTCCTTGCGGGGTGCTGACGTCGAAATCCTGGTGCTTCTTCTCCTTGGTGTTGTAGGACCCGATGTCTTTGTCCCTGGGCACTGCTCCTGGTGCCTTTGGTGTAATAGCAAGGAGCTTCTCAGTGCGCCGCGTGGAAGACGCATCCCTTGTTCTTGCTTCCGAAAAGGGCGCCCATCCTGACCTGTGCGTCCGACCGGGTGCAGGGCCGCGACGTGGCACAGGATCCTTTGGAGTAGGCTTACTGGTGCCCTGGAATCTGGCTGCTGCGGCGGCCACTGCTGGCTCTCTAGTGTTGCTCAGCAGGTTGCCCCGCATATCTCTTGGTGTCCCCAGGATTAGGATCATCGCCTGGGCCCTCGCGCTTTTTCTTCTTCTTGGGCTTGGGATGATCAGGGCCAAGAGATGGGCTTATTGAGCCAGAATCAGAATCAGAAGACGAGGGAAGTTCGATCGTTTCTGGCTTCGGCTTGGGCGCTGCCATTGCCGCAAATCCTGCCTGTGCCCCAGAAGAATACCGCCGATAACGCTTTATGGGGCCCCGGTCAGGATTCAGATCTTCACCGCCTGGCCTCCTGACAGCCAGATTCCTAATCAGTGCGTTCTTCTTTCCATCGAGGAAGTACTTCTCCTCACCATGCCTTGCGGCCATGTAAGTAGCGTTCCAATCCAACCCACGCCTTGAGCACGGTCCGCCTGCCAGGAGAGGGCTCCATATCTCTCGTGACAACGTAATTGGGGTCGATCGGAGTATCAGTGTCACATGTAATGTCCGTGATGCCCGAATCACTTGATTCACCGTCGCCAAGGGCGGCTTCCGTTGGACCAACTTATTTAGCCATTTCAGCATCTGCATCTTCAACTTGATAAGCGTCTGGTTGGCTCTCTTCTTCTGATTTGTACTCGGCAGGTTTCCCTGCGTGCCAATCACGATTGACGTGCGCCAGCTAGTGAGTAGGTATCAAAATTTTCCAAGTAGCCTTTGTTTGCTCAATTTCTGTAACTGTGGCAGGGAGGTAATCCTTTTCCGTCAGCCGCTTGTCGCATGGCGTTTTGTTACGGTCAGCGCAATAGCCCCGACCATCTCCACGTGACCAAACCCACGGTGTCCTCTTGAAATTCTGACTACTTGATGGGCGTCTCATGGGACAGCCAAGCCAGTGATCGGCATTGCTGGGGCATGTGCAGCAAACGCCTCGGTAACGCTGTCGATCCTCGATGATGGCCCTTTTGTGATTACGCACGATCAGCTTTTCCTGCGTTTGAGTCTGTCCCTCCGTCGAACGCATGATAGCGCCAGCATCGTTTCGTTTAGGTTGGCGAAGAGAATACCAGTGTCGACTTTGATGTTCGATCCCACCTTCGTTCAACCAGTATTCCATCGTCTCTGCAGGTATATACTGACGAGCCAATCCAGGTCTGTTCCAGCCCTTTAAACGCTGTAATTGGCCGTCCGGATATTCTTCTCCTCGATGCTGATCGTCTTGAGGCGGGTTTCCCCGCGGACGTTCCCTCCTCGGGGGGGCGCGCGCTCTTGGCACCTTCCCTGGCGGGCCACTTGAAGATCCCACCCCAGGAGGATGAGGGCGCTGAATACCGCTCGAACGGGCGCCACTGGACCGGGCTCGCACCCGATCTGGTGAGATACTAGGAGCTCGACCGCGACGTAACATGCGGCCATCATCTCCCTGTTCGTCCTCGTCGTCCATTGGCGAACGGTATGGATCGTCGCGGTAGTTCTTCTTCCTTTCGAAGGGTACGCGGCTGGGCGACGGCCTCGGACTGCCAGCGGGCCGATCTGACGCAACAAAAGTAAACTGAAATTCTTCATTATGTCCAGGCTCATATTGAATACGTTCAGATAGGTAACCAGCGTCACGCGGGTTTCCCCGCAATGGGTCATCATCGATCAATTCCGTGTTTGTCGGGTTTCCAATCACCCGAGGATAAAGCATGGCATGTGCTTCTTCATCCGTCGCGGGAATGGTAGAATCAGGGTCCGCGGGCGCCCCCGCCATTCCAAAATCACCTTCGACGGGCACGTGGAAGTTCTCGACAAACTCAATATCTGCAGGTTGCCCCGCGATGGGTACACCCAGCCACTCTGCCAAATCGATGTCGTTGTGACCAGTGAACGCCTCCTTGAACAGCTCGTCGGCGAAATTCTCGAGGTTCATACTGGCACATAAATACCTGGCAGCCATGAAGTGAATGACTGTGGCTGAGCCGTCAGCAGGGTCGGCCAAAAGCGACTCCCAGTCGACGTTCTGCATGTCGGAGTCCGTTTGGGCCAAATTCATTGACGGACCCCTGCCTCTTCCATCGCCTTGGGGTCACTCGCGTCGGAAATGTTGTGTACTGTGGCATATGTCGCACTCCATGGTTGTACCGTTGGCATCCTTTGGATTTCCCCGTCGTCCTTTACCTTTACCCGGTGTGTGCCTACGGTTCCTGCCAGCACTTTAAGACATGTCATGCTGGGGCCTAGTGAGGGATGCTAGGAATGCTAGTATGCCTCTACCGTGTAGTCGCCGACGCTTACCTTTTCCTTTACTTCGCCCCTTGCCTTTTCCTTTAAGTGTCCGCCGTACCATACGTCTTACCCTTCTGACTGGTTTCTTCATGAATCTCCGCCAACGACGCTTGTGTTTTTGATAGCCCAGAAATAACCACTGAGCTTGCTGCTCTTCGGAAAGGTATGTAGGCATATCAGAGTAGGCCAAAGCGGTAGCTTCATCATCAGAAGACGTATCGGTATCGGTGCCGGAGTCGAAGTCGGACTCGGCGGCTTGCCCCGCAGAGCCCATTAGGGTCATAGCTTGTACAGGGGAGACCGCATCGGGCGGTCCCCTAGGTCTGGCCCAGGGGTCTTGAGACCCCGAGGCCGCTCCGCCATTCTGAGCCAACAGTGTGGTGGTCTCAGTCGGCGGCATATCATCGTTCCAGACGTTGTTAGCAGGTTGCCCTGGGTTGGCCTCTGTATGGAAGATCTCGGTTCGGTGACCGTGACTAAAAATACCACCAATATTGTCAGGGGTCCTCTGAGCTATGAGAGCATATGACCTCATACGTTCGAGGAGAGCATAACATGGTGCTTGGTCCCTCGGCATATGGCGGTTCAGAGGCTGCAGGAGTTGCTGTGCCCGCGGCGTCCCCACTCCCAGAGCTCTGAAAAATATTACTGTTAATATCTGGAAGTTGTGGATGTTGAAGCCGGCGGTTTCAGCTTCGCCACGGGCTATATCGAACCGTGCTAACGTCTGGTCGATTCGTTCTCCCGCATGAAAACGAAAGTCAATGAGAGCCGTGCCAGAGTTAAGTTGGCGTTCCTCTTCCAGGTTCTAGAACTTCGTACTTGAGAGGAACATAATGTAGGTGACGCCGTCGATGTGGCGACCACCTACATTGATACCAAAATTGATGGCTGCTGGGGGGACTCTCATGGCTATGGTCCGTGCGAGCCCTCCTAAACCGCGCTGTAGTGCGGCAGCCTGTTGGGAGGGTGTCATGTTGCCTGTGGTCACGTTGGTCCAGGCGTGTACCTCGCGGACAAACTCGCGAAATGGTACCTGGCCGGCAGGATCCCAGTGGGGGCCGGTCGTTCTAGTGTCGTCACCGCCCCACATATGTCCCAGCGCACATCCAAGAGCGACCCATATGAACCCATAGATAGTGACCCCAATCCAATGGCCTCGTAGGTCGTAGTCGGGTGTAGTCGGTGGAGACTTTTGTTTTGTCGTCGTAAGTCTGCGTGGGTTCGGAAGCGGCAGTATATCGTATCGCATGCTTCCATGCGTTAGGTCGTCGAAAAAAATCTAATTGGAGTAGGTGTGTGGACTTCAGGAGTGTAATAGCGCAGGGATGTAGAATATGAGTAAGAGACCTCCGCTGGAGCAGAGGTGTCGCTGCAAGTTTCCTTGCGGTACTGCGTATCTATCTACATTCCTCCGCGCAGTGCCACTGCACCCTGATGTTCCACCGTATCTGTAGTCCACCAGGTAGTGCTGTGGATGATGAGGAGTAGAAGTAGAAGTGACCACCATAGGCCAGCTCCGCTACCAAGTTTGAAAGGGGGCTGGGAGGCCCAGCCAACAGCTTCGCCTCAGGCGAAGCCAAGCTCCAGCTCGGCTGTATGGTAGTAGCGAAAGTCCCAATCCAAGAGGGGATGCCATGTCAAGTAAAAGAGGTTGCCTTTTAATATCAATAGCAATCGTGTGCCTCGCGGTGAGGCACAGTCAAATTTGGGCGGCCGGCCGCTTTGAGCCAAGGCGGCCGCGGGCGCACGCTCGCTTCCACTCCTTACGTCCCCCAGCTCGCTTTAGAGGTGTGGATGCTGAAAATGTGGAGAGTAAATCGAGCAGAAGACACAACGACTACCAACGCACGCCCAAGAACGAGCACCCTCTGCGAAGACGTAGTCCGTGAATCGCTCCCCACGGCAAGAGGAGGAAGAAAAACAGCAACGCCACCGCGGATCCGATCCTCGGGGGCCGAGCCAGGAGAAGGAGGAGGAGGAGGAGGGGGAGAAAGAGGAATAAGAGGAGGAGAAGGTTAACGTCCGCGTGACAGGAGGAGGAGAAGGAGACGGAGGAAGAGGTGGCTCGGGCCTGCGGTGGCCGATAGGCCGAATATAACCCCAGGAACTGCTGAGCCAGATCGGCCTTCTGCAAACAGAAGTGGGCTCTAATCATTTCGTCTGAGAAATCGGAAGTGCACGTAAACGCTGAACAACCGCATATTGGGCACACCTCTTTGCGACGTGCACTCTAAACACTGGGCCGTTTAGAAAGCACTTGAAAATCCCGACGTGTGCTCCAGATACTGCATTCAGCCTCTGTGCACTGATCTTGGAGCCCAGGACGGGCCTGGCCAGGACCGGTGCATGTGCATATTTCTCGTCGCCCGAGCACCAGCTTGTCCTTCGTCATCCCCTTGCCGAGGGTGAGCACAGCGACCGCGTCCTTGGCGAACTTCAGGTCCGTGCCCCGGGTGTGCAGCTCGTCCAGGTAGGTGAAGCAGCTGCGCGGCTGCGCGGGGCTGCTCGCCAGCGGCCACTCCCGCCCCCGCCGGTCCAGGACCGCGATGCCGCCGCGCTCGTCGAAGAAAACTGCCCCCTGGAAGCGCTGCGCAGCCGGGCTCTGCGAGGCGAGGACCGCCCGGCAGACGTCCCGATTGGCGAGCCCGGTGACCACCGCCCCCGCGTCCAGCAGAACGCTGGCCTTCGACGCGACGAAGTCCAGCAGCTCCGACGCATCCGCAGCCTCCGAATTGGAGATCACGCGGTAGGCCGTGTTATGGAGCGCCGGGTCGGTCAGCACCTGCACGAGCTTGCCGTTCGTCGACCGCGAGTGCTTCAGCTCCTTCTGCTCCACGTGGATTGGCAGGGTCGGCCGATTGTCGTTCGTGCCCGAAAAGCCATGAACCTCCTCGCCCTCGGCCAGGTGCCAGGCGCTCGCCACCAGGCGGTGGGGGTACTGCATGCAGTCCGAAGGAAAGACGACGCTGTTCAGCCAGAAGTTCACCACCTCGAAGTTCCCCCTGAAGTTCCTGTAGAGCGCGTCGAGCGAGTCCGCGTCCTGGCAGTCGATTCGCGAGGGGGTGAGCAACGCCTCTTTGTCCTCCGGCGACATTCGGGGGCTACTGAGCTGGAGCCAGGTGCGGTAGCGCTCCTGCAGCTCGTTCTCCCCAAGTCGAAGCAGCAGCGCAAAGGACTCCTGGACCTGCTCGCGCGAGAGGCCGTCGGAGTAGTAGCTCTGCAGCGTGTGGCAGATCTGCACGTCGGGATGGCCGAACTCCGTCCGGTCCACCGGGGCGTCCTTTGCGCGGAAGGGCACCGCGAGGCGCTTCGCCGAGTGCGGGTCCAGCCCGAACTGCACGCGGTGCCGCCGCGCCAGGCAGTGGTCCAGGACGCCGTAGACCAGGAGGCCCCGGATGATCAGCAGCGTGGTCCAGAGGGTCGTCTTCTCGCCGCCGCGAGACAGGAACAGCTCTTTCGCGCTCTTCAAATCCCTGTGCTGCATCTTCGGCTCCAGGAGCAAGCGGTGAGCGACAGCCTTGTCGGAAGCCGAGAGCTGCCGGATACTCCCCAGCTCCAGCGGCGGGTCTCTCAGAAGCGCCTCGACGAGCATCTCCCTCAGCTGTGGGAACACTGCGGCGGCGTCCAGCAGCCGGATCAGTGGGAACTGCTCGGGGCTCGGCCTGCTCATCCACACCAGCCCCTGCTCCTTCCACAGCCTGAGCTGCTGGAGGGCGGAGTCCGTCGCCAGGAGCCGCAGCAAGGCCTGGGGGGCGAGCCACCGCTCGGGCGCGGCCTGCACTGGCTGCTGACTGCCGTCTGTGTAGATCAGCTGGTACGTCGTCTTGAGCAGCTCGTCGCACTCATCCATCACCTCTAGGGACACAAGCACCTGAAGACATAAAGACTCGAGGGTCCGCGCGGGTCCCTCGGGTCAGCGCTGGGGCCCCCCAGCGGCGCCTCCGGCGCCATCCCTGGCGCGTTCCGCGCAACAGGATAAGGGGGGTCCAGCGCCGATCCGAGGAATCCGCTCGGACCCCCGAGATGTTTTGTCTCTGCGTCACTGCTTGTGCCCCCGGACCTCGCAGACCTTTTGGCCCACGAGCTCCTGCAGCCCGCGCCGGGCGGCCGAGGCGGCCGCCGGGGCGTCGGCGCTCTCGGAGCGGCAGGCGGCCTCGGAGTGCTTCAGCACCAGCGACAGCCGGTGCTCGGGCGCGGCGACGAGGAGGCCGCCGTCGGCGCGGCAGCGCGCCAGCTGCCTCGCGAGCACGCGGCGGGGCTCCTCCGCGACGGGGCAGTCACGGCGGAACGGGAGCACAAAGATGTGGCGGCGCAGGAGACCCCCGAAGACCTGCCGGAAGTGGTCCACCGATACCGCGACGAGGGAGGAAGGCACGTTCGCTCGCACGAGGCGGTTGCCGTCGGCGAGTTTGGCCACGAGCATGGGGAGGATGACCTTACTCTTCCCTTCGCCCATGTTCAGCTGGAAGAGCTCGTGGTTCGTCTGGCACATCACTCTGGCCACGTCGACCTGCCGCTTGCGGATTGTGATCCCGCTCTCGAACTCGAGCACGAGCCATTCCGGACACAAGTGCGGGTCCCAAGTGCGGATCGTCTGCAGCTCCTCGACCACCGCGCCCTCCGCGAGCGAGTGGCCACCGCCGCCGCCGCCATCGTTGCCTCCCCCCATCTCGACGCCGCCGCCGTCACCGCCAGGCAGCTCGCGCAGCCGCGCGAGCAGCCTCAGGATCTTATGCTCGTAGGTCCCCAGCACCAAGCAGAGGATAACGTACTCGCGGATCCGCGGGGCCTCCGACGGCTTGATCGCCGGGTTCGCCTCGGCCACCTTGGCAGCGAGGTCGTCGTCGTCGGCCGCGACCGCCCAGCGAAGCACCTGCTGCGTGGTCGCCTCGGGCGTGACCCGGCCCAGGCGCGCGAGGCGCAGGGCTGCGCCGTGCGCGCCGCCTGGCAGGGCGTCCACAGCGGCACGCAGATCGATCCAAGCCGTGCGCCGCATCTCCTGCACCCTGGCGAGGAGGGCATGATACCATGCGCTGTCCCGGCGCAGGAGCACGGCTTTCGGCCTGGCCAGCTCCTGCATGTACAGGAGCCAGCTCTCGCGGAGCTCCCCCATCATGCTCCTCCCCAGGGGGCGCTGCAGCACGTCATCGTCCGCCAGGGGGGGCACGGAGCCACCCAAAGGGAAGGTCAGGTCGATCCGCGCCCGGCCTCGCGCGCTCGCGAGGAACTTCACCTCCTTCCTGAGCCTGGCCTCGCGGCTCTGCAGCTCCGCCTGGCGCCCCTCCTCTTCGGAGTCCTCCTGCATCTCGTCGCCCTCGTCGTCCGCCGCCTCGTCTCGCCGCGCGGCCCTCTGGCGCAGCCGATCGACCTGCTCGCTGACCCGCTTCAGCTCCGCCCTCGCTGCATCGAGCCTCGCCGCGAGCTCCGCTGCCCTCGCCTCGCCGCCCTCGCCCTCGCCCTCGCCGGCCGTCGCAGCAGTCGCAGCTCCCACACGCCAGCAAGAGCGGAGCTCTGCCTCGATCGACGCGACCAGGCCGTCGTCGCCGACGGCGTTGCTGCAGAGTGAAACCCCGACGGAGGGTGCCGCGCCGACGACGCCCGGCAGCTCTGGGCTCGTCGGGTTTGCCAGCACTCGCGGCAAGTGGGGGGCCAGGACCAGCGATCGCGCGGCGTTGCACGAGGCTCCGACTTCGTCGAAGAAGTCGCTGAGGGCCTGGGCAAGGTCGCGCTTCGTCTCCACGGCCTGCGCCTGCCTCCGCAACGCTGAAATCAGGTGGTCTGCATGCGGGTTGCGGAGCTCGGACGTGATGTCGTCGTTGATCGAAGCTATCCGAGAGGTCAGCTCTGAGATCGCATGGGTCGAACACCGTGGAACCGTGTCGCAGCTGAGGAGGCGCCGGGGTGCTTGGGGAATGCTGGGCCGCTTCCCATGCTGCGAGACGAGAAATAGAACCTGCAGCAAGGTCCACGTCTCATCCTTAATGCTGGCTGAATTGCACACTGCGTAGAAGGCCAGCTTCAAGAAGAACGCCTGGCGGCCGTCGCTCCGGGGCGCTGCCGCAGCTGCCGCAGCCTCGCTGTAGAGCGCCAGAAAGGTCTCTGGTCGCAGGCACGCGTCCCAGTCCAGCACAGAGCTTCCTGCTGGCGCCTCACAAGCAACATCTTTCATGTAGAAGCTGGTCTTCTTCAGTTCGGCTGCAAAGTCGCGCCGCAAAAGCTGCGGCGCGAAGAGGACGAACGCCGCCTTCTCGAAGTGGTGATTTGGATCCGTGGCCCCGGGGGCCGCGCGATTGAGAGCGCGGTCTCTACCGAGGAGCTGGCCTCCGAAGACTTGCATCTCTGCGGCCGCCGGGAGCCAGGCAGATGTCGGCATCAGCTCCCTCACTCGACACGCCAGCTCCAGCGTGTCCTCCTCTGGATCCCACTTCCTGCAGAACTGCTGCGGCCTCTCCAAGCCGTGCATGAAGTAGGTGTCCTGACTGTCCGCCCAAAGCAGATTGGCCAGGCAGCGCAACGCCAACTTCCGCCCCGAGCCCTCCTCGAAGATCTCTGACATCACCTCGTGCTCCCTCTCGGTGTACGGCTTATTCTGCCAGCAGTGCAGCAGCTCCTCGATCGCCGCCTCAACCCCTGTGGCTCCTGTGAGCGGGTCGGGGAGGGCGGAGTGGCACTTCGCGTAGCAGGCGGCCAGGAGGAGCCTGGCGTCTGTCCTCTCGGACTTGAGACGGCCGACCTCTCGATCCAGCGCGAAGGCGAAGAATTCCGGCGATCGGCCTGACTGGTGAGGCAAGTGCACGCGACACCGGTGTATGACGTCGGGAAGGCCGTCGGGTAGGTCGTCGGGAAGGCCGTCGGGGACGGCGTCGGATACGGCGTCGGGTACGGCGTCGGGTACGGCGTCGTGAACCTCGGCCTGGTCGGGGCCAGAGCGCCTCGGCTGCAGCGCCTTGAACAGTGCTTCCTGAAGGGCAGATGGGACGTGCTCCCGGAACTCACGGATGCGCTGACAGTGCTGCTGAAGGGGAATGAGCGCCTTCGCCTCGCAACCGCTCGCCTCGAGCACCTGAAGCCATGACACCACAGATACGATCGCGGCGGCAGGGACGTCGCCTGCGAGACATACCATCCGGTGCCCGATCCCGAGGTGGGACGCCCTTCCCGTCCGCGGCAAGCCCGCGGCCGTGCAGGCCACATTGTCAGAGATGTCGACGACTTCAGTAGCGTCCGGAAGCATCGCCAGGTCGATGGCTGCGATCCGCAATCCCTCGAGGGGGGCGCCTTTGGCGATCGCCATGGCCGAGTACAGGAGCGCGACCACGGGGTCCAGTGTGGCGGACAGGTACCTGGAGGCCACCCGTTCCTCCCACCCCTTCTCCACATGATCGGCCAGCGAGAGCGCGGAGGACGGGTTCTTGGGCCGGAGTCCCTTGTCGGGGTCGTCCTGCCCGGCGAGCGCCCTGTACACGATGCGACCCTGCGTGCTCGTCTGCACATGCATTGGCACTGCGGGCTGTACCATCGCGTTCGGGATCAGCACCACCGTTTCTGGGCGCTGCCCCTCCGTCGGCGCGCGGGCGCGGAGGACCAGGTACTGCTCCATGCCGAGCAGGGTCTCGACCTGCTGGCATGGGCGCAGCGTGTACCCGCGGAAATCTACCGAGCCCAGCTCGCCTCCCTCCCCCACGTGGAACGTGAGGCGGGAGCATCCGTCGCGAAAGAACTCGACCTGCTGCAGTTCGCAGGGGCCAGATGCTGTTTCGCTGGTCCCCTCAGCGCCGAAGCACAAGATGTACTGGGCGTCGTCGAACTTGGACAGCACTGTCGTGATTGGCCGGAGCTCCGTGGCCAATGTCGGGAGCAGCCTGCGCTTGTCAGCCACCCTGTGCACGTCCGCGTACAAGGAAAGGGAAGGAAGCAACGATCCAACTCGTCGCAGCTGCGCCACAAACAACGGCGCCTTCTGTCTGCAGTCCTCTGGCCGAACCTCGAGCCGGCCGGTGGCGCAGTCCAGCCAATGGCTGCACGCCTCCACGAGAGGCGGAGGCAAGGCCACGAGCCCGGGGGGGATCAGGAGCACCCCGTCGTCTGCATCCGCCGTCTTCAGCTCCCTGATCAAAAGCGCCCCGGACGCGGTGGCCGCGAAGCGGTAGAAGCGGTCCGCAAAGACCTCCTTGCTCCTGAACTCCGTCGGCGACGTCTGCATGACCGGGGGGCTGAAGGCCTTCCCGAAGACTCGCGCGTAAAGGCCGTGCTTCTGTATGGCATCGGGAAGCCGGCCGCTCTGGAGCCCGTTCTGCCTGACGACCCCTGTGTGCAGGTGCACGTGGAAGACGTCGCCACTCTTGGACGTGGTCGTGAAGAGCGGCCCAGCATCAACCTGATGCCACAACAAGTCCGCCTCGACCCAGGGCACAACGACGCGGGCTGCACCTCCGAGGATGGTGCAGCCCCCTGGGCCGGCGCAGGAGGCGACGAGCTCCGCCTCGCGGTGCAGCATCGTCTCGCTGACCCAGCATGCGAGCTCCTGGTCCAGGGCCTGGTCCAGAAGTGCGGATTCTGCGATGCGCACCCGGAGCTCAAGCAATCGGGCGGCAGCCACGGCGTCCAAGACCTTGGGGCACACGCGTCTGGCGAGGAGCTCGTACACAGCGAAGGTGCACCTCAGGCAACGGAGCTCCGCGAGGCGCTCAGTGTCCTCGTGCGCCGTGTTCTGCAGGAGCTCCGCCACCTGCGCGGCCCAGCGCTCGGCCACGTTCCAGCAAGAGCGAAGGACACGTTGGAAGGGCGCCTCGTGCCACTGGACCAAATAGTTCGCCACCACGACGAGGAGCAGCAGGGCCTGGTGGCCCCTGCGCTTGTGCGCCAGCTCCTGCGCCCTGTCGCTCAGCCCGTGGGCGAAGTCCTCCATCCACTCCTGCACCCCGAGATCCTGCTTCCAGGCCGCTGCCGCGGGCAGCTCGCCGGCGACGCAGGGGCCGATCTGGGTCGACGCCTGCAGGGCGAGGTTCAGGAGCGCCTCCGAGTGAAGGTCCAGCCTCCGGCCCTGCTCGTGGCCGAGCAGCGTGGTCGCCAGCCTGCGGAGCTGCAGGCCGGGGTTGGCGCGCACCGTGCCGAAGGTCCACCAGCCCAGCTTGGCGAGCTGGGGTGGGATTTCGGACTGCCTGGCCAGCACCTCGCCCTCGCTAGGGTGGTGCATCATCCACTGCGGCGGGAGGCCCTGCCCCTTGGGAAGCTGCCGCGTGAAGAGGTCTCGGCACCGGTGGGGCTCGAAGAAGAACGGGTTGATCATGGTCCCTTTCCACTGCCAGCCCAGCTCCATCGGCAACCCATCCGGGTAGCAAATTTTCCTGACGCCCCTGAACTCAGGCGCGCTGGAAGAAAGTATCGACAACGGAGGCGCCTCTGCTCCTGCGCCTTCCACCGAAGCGTGGCATTTGAAATGGGATGACCATGTGAACTTGAACTGCTGCGTGTGCGCATCGTAGTTCGCAGGGAGCTCCGCCAGCCTCCCATGCAGACTGTACTGCGCCAAGCAGCTTACATCGGAGAGCGCCCGCAGGATGGGTGGCATGTCCGCCACCGTGCCTCTGGGCACGGAGTGGGCGCGCTCTCAGGTCCTTTGCCCACTCCCCTGAGCCTCAGTCCTCATTCCCGAGGACTCCATTCGGGGCCGGGACCCTGGGACCCAAAATTCTCAAGTCCTCTTGGGCTTGGCTTGGCGCGTGCCCCCTGGGGGGCTGGCCGCGGCTTCCCGCCGGCCTCTCTCGGGCGCAGGAGGGCCCCGAGGCGAGCCCAGAGGGCCCCGAGAAGCTCCCACGACGGCCTACGGAGGCCCCGAGTCGCCGAACGATCCCCCAGGGCGCTCGAGATGGCCCTAGACGGCCCGAGAGGCCTCCAAGACGCCCAAGAGGCCCCCAAGAGGCACCACAAGAAGGTCCCCAGGAGCCATAATCAATGTTTTCCCTTTGGTGTTTGAAAGATTTGGGCGTTCTCCTTGCATTTTCGGCTCCCGAACGCTCCCAGACGGCCCTGGAGGCCTCCAAGGCCGCTCCAAGAAGGCCCCGCCCCAGAGGCCTCCAAGAGATCCCGAAAGGGCCCAAGAAGGCCCAAAGACAACCCCACAGGCATCCAAAACGGCCAAAGAGGGCCCCAAAACAACGGCTCCCAAAAGGGTCAAAAAAAATAGAATAATAACCGAAAATCCAAACCTTCCGCCCCAAGAGGCCCCCAGGAGGCTCCAAGAGACACCCAGGAGGCCCCAAGAGGCCCCCAGGAGGCCTCCAAGAGGCCCCAAACGGCCTCCAAGAGGCCCAAAAAGAGGCCCCAAGAGTCCCACAAACGGCCCTCAAGAGGCGTCCAATCTGCCTCTCAGAGGCCCCAGGGCAGCCTCCCAGGAAATCCCAGCGAACATCCGAGAAGCTTCACACCCACAGCCCAGGCACGGTGGCGTGACGGGCCGAAGGCCACTCGACCTGCTTGGCATGGGGACGGAAAGCGCGATTAGTTTGTGAGGGCGCGAGGTCGCTGGCTTAGGCCCTGTTGGTGTTAAGGCTTCGGTGCGGCATAACAAAATCTAGCAGCCAGCCTTGCGAAAATCGATATGAACATTGCATCCCTGGGCCTTCCTGGGGGTCCTTTTGCAACTCTGTTGGGCCGCCTTGGGGCCCTTTTGGGCCGTCCCGGGGCCCTCTTGGGCCGTTTTGGCGGGCTTGGGCCGTCTTGGGGCCCTCTGGGGGCCCAACTGGGTCCCCGTGGGGCCCTTTTGAAAATCTCTCTGGGCCCTCAGGGGCCCTCTCTTGGGCCGTCTTGGGGCTCTCTGGGGCCGTCTTGACGCCCACATCGGCCGTCTTGGGGGATCCTGGGGCCGTCTTGGGGCGGTCTTGGGGCATAAGGGCCGTTCTGGACGCTGTGAAGACCAGAGAAGCGAGTATACTAAACATATGCGTTGTTTTCCTTCGGGAATGGGACGATGTTTGCCTCTTGGAGGTCCCCTTTGGGGGCCTCTTGGGGCGTCTCGGGGGCCTCTTGGGCTGTCTTGAAGCCATCTTGGGCCCTCTTGGAGCGTTCTTGGGCTGTCTTCGGGCCCTCTTGGACCTCTCCGTCGCCGTCTTCGGCGCTTTTGGAGCTGTCTTGGGTCCTCTTAGGCGCTCTTGGGGGGCCGTCTTGGGCCGAACATTGCCGAAATTCAAACCATTAGAACCTGGACCGGCGCGTAAACGGAAAGAGCGCCTCAGGAACTGGCCCGAGAGGGCTCATGGCACCCTTCGCTCTTGGGAGCCTTGTTGTGAAGAGCTTGTTACGTCGCCGCTCTCCGTTGGGAGCCCTGGTGTTCAGAGGCTGTTACGTTGCCGCTCGCTCTCGGGAGCCTTGGTGTGACGAGTTTTGTACGTCACCGCGTTCTGGGGAGCCTTGGTGTCAAGAGCTCGTTACGTCACCGCTCGCTGATGGGAGCCATGGTGTTCTTGAGCGTCTCTTGGGCCTCGTCGGGGTCTTCTTGGGACCCTTTTGGAGCCCCTCGGGAGCCCTTTTGGGGCAAACCTGGGCCGTCTTAGGGCCCTTGTGGGCCGTCTAGGGACGTCTTGGAAGCCTTCGGCCGTCTTGGGGCTCTCTTGGGGGCCTCTTGGGGCCCTCTTGGGAGCGTCTTTGGGCCTCTTGGGGCTCTCTTGGGGCTCTCTTGGGGCCGTCTTGGGGCCATCTGGGGCTGTTTTGGGGCCGTCTTGGGCCGCCTGGGGGGTCTTGGACCGTTTTCTGCCTCATTGGGGGGCTCTGGGGCCGTCTTGGGACGAGCTTTGGGACCTCATGGGCCGTGTTGGGCCCGGCTGGGCCCGAAAAGGCGAGAACACACAAAAACAGTCAAACATTTGAGGACATCAATTTTTTGGGGCTCCTCAGGCCCTCGAGGGACCTCTGGAAGGTCTCTGGAACCGTCTCGAGGCTCTCTTGGACCGTCTTGAGACCATCCAGAGCTCTCTTGGGGCCGTCTTTGGGTCGTTTTGGTGCCCTCTTGGGCCATCTTGGGGCCCCTGAGCCGCTTCAGTAGAACAAAAAAAAAAGAAACGGGCCGTGGAAAGCGCCCGCGAGCCGCTTTACGCGCAGAAAATACGGTAAAACTGCCCCCAAGCGGCCATTAACACTCATACATCCGGCTCTCGCCCCTCCCCTGGGCCCCTCCCTAGAGGGCTTTGCCTCACCAGAACGTCATCACTCGTGCCTCACTCTTTCCGTTACCTGCTTGGCAAAGGGACGGAAAGCACCTTTATTTTGTGAGGGCGCGAGGTCGCTGGCTTAGTGTCTTGGAGCCCTGTTTGCGTCAAAACTTCCGTGCGACATGGACAACATCTAACAACCAACTGCGCGAAAATCAATACATGTTTCATGTCTGGGCCTTCCTGGGGGTCCTGTGGGGGCTCTTTTGGGCCGTCTTGGGGCCGTTTTGGGACCCTCTTGGGCCGTCTTGGCGAGCTTGGGCCGTCTTGGGGCCCTCTGGGAGCTCTCCTGGGTCCCATTGGGGACCTTCTGTGGCCCTCTTGGGGCTCTCTTGGGAACACTTTGGGACCCTGAAGGGCCTCTCTTGGCCCCTCTTGGGGCTCTCCTGGGCCGTCTTGACGCCCACATGGGCCGTATTGGGAGCCCCTGGGCCTGTCTTGGGGCGGTCTTTGGGGCCTCCTGGGCCGTGCTGGGCGCTGCGAATGCCAAAGAAGCGATTATATTAAACATATACGTTTTCCTTTGGGAATGGGGCGATGTTTGCCTCTTGGAGGTCCCCTTTGGGGGCCTCTTGGGGCGTCTGGGGGCCTCTTGGGCTGTCTTGAAGCCAAGATTGGGCCCTCTTGGAGCGTTCTTGGGCTGTCTTCGGGCCCTCTTGGACCTCTCCGACGCCGTCTTCGGCGCTTTGGGGGATGTCTTTGGCCGTCCTGGGGGCCCCTTTGGCGCTCTTGGGGCTTAATTGGGCCGTCTTGGGCCGAAAACTGTCGAAACCATCCTCCGGCTGCCTACTCCCCCCCTTTGTTATTTCTCCCGACTGACGGATCGCGACGCTACGCGCGCTTTCCGTCACCTGCTTGGCATAGGGACGGAAAGCGCGGGTTCTTTCTGTGAGGTCGCTGGCTGGCTATTGCCGTGGAGCCCTGCTGGTGTGAAGGCTTTGGCACAACATGCCAAAATCTAGCAAGGAGCCTTGCGAAAAACAATACATATGTTTAGCTTCCCGCTCAGCGGAGATTGCGTCTCTAGTCTCACTGGCAGCGTCTACGCGCAGCCGCTGCCAATTGCCCCAAGATGAGGGCCATTGACCGATACCTGGATTGGAAAAAGAAAAACTGGGTGGCGAGGGAGGACCGGTTGATTCTGGAAGCCGAAGGCTACAGAGGGGACAGGAAGCGACACAACGCGATCAGCAAACATTTTTGCGCACGCACCCCCATGTTTAGCTACCCGCTCAGCGGAGATTGCGTCTCGAGTCTCACTGGCACCGTCTACGCGCAGCCGCTGCCAATTGCCCCAAACCAGCCCCAACCGGATGCTCACCGATCCGAATCGGATCTTGAAAGCGAGCCGATTTACCTGAGGGTAGTATAGTACAGCTTGGGCAGGCCCACTCTAGCAGCCTTGTAGGCGAGACCTCGTGGGGACTGAAAGGGTGAAAGCCGTCTTGGGGCCCTCTGGGAGCTCTCCTGGATCCAATGGGGAACTCCTGTGGCCCTCTTGGGGCTCTCTTGGGAACACTTTGGGACCCTGAAGGGCCTCTCTTGGCCCCTCTTGGGGCTCTCTTGGGCCGTCTTGACGCCCACATGGGCCGTGTTGGTAGCCTCTGGGCGTGTCTTGGGGCGGACTTTGGGGCCTCCTGGGCCGTTTTGGGCGCTGTGAATACCAAACAAGCGAGTAAGCAACAAATGCACGTTTTCCTTAGGGAGTGGGGCGATGTTTGCCTCTTGGAGGTCCCCTTTGGGGGCCTCTTGGGGCGTCTGGGGGCCTCTCGGGCTGTCTTGAAGCCATCTTGGGCCCTCTTGGAACGCTCTTGGGCCGTCTTCGGGCCCTCTTGGACCTCTCCGACGCCGTCTTCGGCGCTTTGGGGGCTGTCTTGGGCCGTCCTGGGGCCCCTTAGGCGCTCTTGGGGCTCACTTGGGCCGTCTTGGGCCGAAAATTACCGAAATTACGGCCATTCGGAATCATCCTCCGGCTGCCTAGCCCCCCCCCTTTGCTATTTCTCCCGGCTGACGGATCGCGACGCTACGCGCGCTTTCCGTCACCTGGCCCTCGGGCTGCCTACCCCCCATTGTTATTTCTCCCGACTAACGGATCGCGACGCTACGCACGCGTTCCGTCACCTGGGCCGGCACGGGAACGGAAAGAGCGCTGCAGAAACCTGCCCGAGATGGCTCCTGGCACCCTTCGCTCTGGGGAGCCTTGGCATGAAGAGCTTGTTGCGTCATCGCTCTCTGTTGGGAGCCCTGGTGTCCAGAGACTTTAACGTAGCCGCTCGCTCTTGGGAGCCTTGATGTTTAGAGGTCTTTACGTCACCGTGTTCTGGGGAGCCTTGGTGTCAAGAGCTCGTTACGTCACCGCTCGCTGTGGGGAGCCATGGTGTTCCTTGGGGTCTCTGGGGCTTCTTGGGAGTCCTTAGGGGGGCCCTTGGAACCATTTTGGGACTCTTGGGCCGTCTTGGGGCCCGCCCAGTCCCCACACGCAAGCAGCCCAGTCCCCGCACCACCTCCTCGGGCACTGTTGGGAGCCTCGTGGGGCCATCTTGGGGCTCTCTTGGGGCCGTCTTGGGGCCTGTTGGGCCGTTCGAGGGCCCTCTGGGCCATCTGGGGGGCCCTCTTGGACCGTTTTGCCTAAAGGGTTTGGGGCCCTTTTGGACCTCTGGGGCCGTCTCGGAACGATCTTTGGGACCTCTTGGGCCGTCTGGGGCCCTTCTTGGCCAGAAAAAACAATAACGTCAAAATCCTTAAACAACCAAAGAAATAACAAGGTTGTTGGCCTCCAAGACGGCCCTGGAGCATCCCAAGAGGGCCCCAAGTCGGCCCAGAGAGGCCCTCAAGACGGCTTCCGACGGCGTCCAGGAGGCCACCAAGACGGCCCAAGACGGCTTGAAGATTGCCCAAGACTGCCCAAGAGGCCCCCAAGAGGTCTCCAAGACGGCCCAAGAGGCCCCCTAGAGGTTCTCCAGGAAGGCACGAAGAGGCCAGACTGATTGATTCCCAAGAGACAGCACCGCGAATATCCTCCTCCTCCTCCTCCTCATCCTTCCTCCCTCCCCCCATTATCATCATCATCATCATCATCATCATCATCATCATCATCATCATCATCATCATCATCATCATCATCATCATCATCATCATCATCATCATCATCATCATCGTCGTCGTCATCATCATCATCATCATCATCATCATCATCATCATCATCAGTATCATCATCGTCATCGTCATCGTAATCGTCGTCATCATCATCAACCTCATAACCGTCATCACCAGCATCATCCTAATCCTCATTAACATCACCACCACCACCATCATCATCATCAGCATCATCATCATAATCATCATAATTATCATCATTCTCATCATCAACAACATCATCAGCATCATCATGATCATCATGATCATCATCATCATCACCAGCATCAGCATCAGCATCATGGTCATCATCATCATCATCATCATCATCATCATCATCATCATCATCATCATCATCATCATCATGGCCGTCATCATCACCATCACCATCATCATCATCATCATCAGCATCATCATCATCATCATCATCATCATCATCATCACCATCATCATCATCATCATCATCATCATCATCATCATCATCATCATCATCATCATCATCATCATCCTCATCATGGCCGTCATCATCACCACCATCGCCATCATCACCATCATCGTCATCGTCATCGTCGCACCCCTCGCACGCTTCGTGGCCCCATAGGGAGCTCCACCCAAGGTCCCAGTGGCGCAGTCCCCATGGCGGCACCCCATTTTGACACACCCCTCACACGTTTCGTGGCCCCATGGGGAGCTCCGCCTATGGTCCCAGTGGCGCAGTCCGCATGGCGGCGCCGCCCCATCTTGGCACACCCCTCACACGTTTCGGGGCACCATAGGGAGCTCCACTTAAGGTCTGAATGGCGCAGTCCGCATGGCGGCGCCGCCCCATCTTGGCACACCCCTCACACGTTTCGGGGCACCATAAGGAGCTCCAACCAAGGTCCCAGTGGCGCAGTCCGCATGGCGGCGCCGCCCTATTTTGGCACACCACTCAGCGCCACCTAAGAGATCCCAGTTGCGCAGTCCGCATGGCGGCGCCGCCCCATTTGGCACCCCTCATACTCGTGGCCCCATAGGGGGCTCCACACAAGGTCCCAGTGGCGCAGTCCGCATGGCGGCGCCGCCCCATCTTGGCACACCCCTCACACGTTTCGTGGCCCCATACGTAGGGAGCTCCACCTAAGGTCCCAGTTGCGCAGTCCGCATGGTGGCGCAGCACCATTTGGGCACACCCCTCACACGTTTCGTGGGACCATAGGGAGCTCCACCTCAGGTCCCAGTGGCGCAGTCCGCATGGCGGCTCCACCTCATTTTGGCACACCCCTCACACGTCTCGTGGCCCCATAAGGGGGCTCCACATAAGGTCCCAGTGGCGCAGTCCGCATGGCGGCGCCGCCCCATCTTGGCACACCCCTCACACGTTTCGTGGCCCCATACGTAGGGAGCTCCACCCAAGGTCCCAGTGGCGCAGTCCGCATGGCGGCGCCGCCCCATCTTGGCACACCCCTCACACGTTTCGGAGCTCCGCCCTGCTCCTCCTCTACCCCCGTCGCGGGGCGTAGAGCCGCTCGAAGTATGCTGGCAATGAACTTGGTCACGCCCGCGTTGCTTCGACACGGAGTGTTCGCTTTGCTCCGGCCATTTCGGCACATCCCTCACACGTTTCGGCTACACGCAAGAGTGACCCTGGGTAAGAGTGACCTCTGGTGCGCGGCCTTTTGGGGGCCGTGGAGGGACCAAAAGCGAGCGCGCAAGACGCCACCACCGCACCACGCCCGGCGATCGGGGGAACCCAGTGAGCCCGCACCAAAGGTCACTCCGGCGAAGAGTCACTCTTACCCAGAGATCCGATGTCGTGTTTTTTCCAATACGGGGTCCCCGGAAATCTCGACCCATTCCCCGGGACCGGTTTTTCATCCCGAGCCGTTTTTTGACGGTCCCGAGGCCCGGCGAGGGCCCCGAGAACCCGAAAATGACAAAACAACTTTGCTCGATTTTTTCGAGACGTCCGATGTCTGGGCACGTGCTGTCGAACGTTCTGTGGCCTCGTATAAAAGGGGGCTCCTCGTCTGGCCCCAGCAGCAGCACCCGCACGGCGGCCCCGTCCCACTTCGGCACCCTCTTCACGCGCCTCGTGGTCCTCCTCCTCCTCCACATCCTCCTCCTCCTCCTCCTCCTCCTCCTCCTCCTCCTCTCCCACCTTCTCCACCTCCCCCCCTTCTCCTCCTCCTCCTCCTCCTCCTCCTCGTCCTCGTCCTCCTCCTCCTCCTCCTCCTCTCCCACCTTCTTCACCCCCCCCCTTCTCCTCCTCCTCCTCCTCCTCCTCCTCCTCCTCCTCCTCCTCCTCCTCCTTGAGCCAGGAGTGCGTGGTCGAGCGCAACCCCCAGGGGGCCCTTCCCACGCAGGGAGTGGGGAACCGCCGGGCCGTCCCCAGGCCGAGGCGATACGAACAACGACGGCATCCACAATTGCATATGGCCGGGTCCTTCGCCAGGCTAATGCTCCATAGGCTTTTGAAGGATCTGGGCATTTGCCTCTTTTCGACCTTCCGACGGCCCGGAGACGGCCCAAGAGCTCCCCAAACTCGCCCCAAGATCGCCCACGAGGCATTCCAAGATGGCCCAAGAAAGGCCCCAGAGGCCCCGAAGGCGGCCCCGAGAGGGCCCACCAAGAGGCCGAGAAGACGCCCAAGCTGGCCTCCCAGAAGGCCCTGGAGTCCGACGGCGTCCGACGAGCCAGGGATGCCCTAAGACGGCCAAGGAGGCCCCCGAGAAGCCCACAAAGGCCCCCAAGAGGTCCAAGGAGGCCGCCAAGAGCTCCCAAAGGCTCCCAGGAAGCCCAAAGGAGGTCCCAAGAGTGCCCCCAGCGGTTCCGAAAATGCCCCATCCTCCTCCTACTCCTTCTCCTCCTCCTCCTCCTCCTTCTCCTCCTGATCTTCCCCGCCATTCTCCCCCAAGTGTTCCCCGAAGGGTTTCTACAACGACTGAGGGATACATGACCCCATAGCTTGGCAGAGCTCTTGCCACAACGCTTGGCCACATGGGTTATTCCAAAAGGAAGGGGGCGGCTGTGATTCGCCGTAGGCGTCTTCGATACATAAAGAAGAGCACCTGCTGTGCGCCGCTCGGGTCGGACGGAAGAGGATGCACCAGAGTGGGCGGCTGCTTCTCTACTGAACGCAGTTTGTCTTCGATGTTCGACATTTCCCTACCCAGGACATGCCATTGGCACGAATTGCACCACCGAACTGAGCAGAGTGGTTGGCCAGACCGTAGAACGCTCAAGTCGTGAAGCTTTGCCCTCAACTCGGACTCCGCCCTCTCACATCTGGCGACCTCTTTTTTGTAAACCCGGTCCTTCGCTTGGGCCGCGTCTCTCATGCGCCGCCACCACTCCGGCTTTCGCTGGCTCGCGTACTCCAGCGCAAACTGTAGGGTGTATTCCTGCTTCGCCCCATCCATGTTGAAGAGCTGAGGGCCAGATGTCCGCACCTCCGCAAAGTACGTGACGAGCCTAGCTGCCACCTCCATGAGCCGGCGGTCTGGGAGCAGCAAGTGCTGCAACGGCTCCGCATCGAGCGCAGGCGCGTATCGGCTCATAAGCTCTCGAGTGTCGGGGTCAGCGCGAGTCACGGCATCCAGCATCGCCGAGCAGGCGAAGAGGAGGAGAGCCGAGCGACTGTGCTGCTCGGGGAAGTGCAACCGCTGCTGGCACTTACCGCAAGAGTACTCGGTCACGACCTCATGGAGCAGCCGAGCAAGATCGACGAGGTGGGCAGCCGAGCAGTCGAGCAGCCTGTCGAAGACATCCGCGGAGTCGAAAAACCAGCCTTGAACCCCGCGCGCAAGTACCAGATCGAAGATATAATCCTCCACGCCGCTGGTGAGCCGAACGCTGTCCTGCGGAGCCAGGCACTCCTGATTCCCGTCTTTCATCCATTGGGAGAGCTGCTGCAAAGCCTGCTGCACCGGAAAGTGACGAAAAGTGGAGGCGCACGTCGGCGCTCGCACATCAGCCTGACACATCTCCTTGATTGACATGGCCTCGCTATTCTGCGCGAAATCCAAGAATGCTGTGACCATTTTGAACGTGGTCTGCGCTGCGGGCAGCGGCTCTGGCGGTGCGCAAGGGAGCGTGAAGACGTGCTGCAGGTGCCTCAGCACGTGCTGCTGGGACTCCTCAATGTCGAGCTTGATCCCATGGCAGATCTCGTGGCAGCGAACTGTCCATGAGTCGTCGCGGTAGCGCTCGACGAGCTTTGTCGCCTTCCGGGACATCCGCCGGAGCAGGTCCATGAGCACGTCCACTTGCTTGTATGTGCTGAGAACGCAGGCGTCCCCCGGCAGCTGCCTGAGGTCGAGCAGCACCGCGTGCTCGCGCCGCAGGCGCCAGAGGATGAAGAGTGCGATCAACTTTTTGTAGATAGGGCCGATGCTGTAGTCCGCGGCCACGACGCTGGAGAATTGCATGATCGAAGCAGCGAAGTGCACGATGAACTTCACCGCGATCCAGTCTGGGTCCGCGCCCCGAAGCTCCGGCAGCTGCGCCTGCCGGTCCCCGGCGTCGAGAGACTTCCACAGGTCGGGCCGCATCGCCCCCTCGTACTCGCGGCCCCGAAGCACCGTCAGCAGCCACTCGTACACGTAGTTTGTTACCGTGTCCGCCCGAACCAAGTCCGACATCATGGCCGCCGCCTGTGCTGCCACCGCCGGAGTGAAGTTTGCGAGCGCGACGCGAAGCGGCTGGTGCGGCAGGTGCATGCGGTGCTTGATGAGCACATTCTGTTGCTGCTGCTGTGCGCCATCGGCTGGCCGCCGCGCTGGCGCTGCCTCCTGGACGCTGCTGCGCACCGAACGACACATGGACTCCCTCCCGAAAAGCATCTCGTCGACTCCCTGCGGTGCCGCCACGGACTCCGTCATCACGACCGCCGTCTTGTGGACCATGAGGTCCAGGGGAAAGAGGAGCAACTCCTCGCCGCTCCGGTGCACGACCACCGCCACGCCGGGCTCCGCGCCCTCCCACGTGTCCTGGACCGCGCCCACGTTCCCCTTCGGAAAGGTCCAGACCGCGAACTGCCCTGGCTCGAGGCCCGCGACCTCCTTCAAGAGAGCGTCCGCGACGTCCTTAGGGGAACAAAAAATGACAAAAACATAATTCTCGAAGGTCCGCGCGGATTTCTCGGATCGGCGCTGGACCCCCCTCCCTGGCGCGCGGAGCGCGCCAGGGGCGGCGCCAGAGGCGCCGCCGGGGGGCCCCAACGCTGACCCGAGAAATCCGCGCGGACCTCCGAGATTTTATGTTTATGTCACTTGTTGTTCCCCTACAACGGCATTATGCCACTTGTTGTGCCATTTTTGTGTCAATTGTTGTTCCCCTACTTTATGCCACATTTTATGTTTATGTCACTTGTTGTTCCCCTACTTTATGTCACTTTTTATGCCATTGTTGTTTTTATGTCCTGCAACGGCGACGTGGGCCGCGCGCTCCAGGCGCCGCAGCTCCGCCGGAGGACCCGCAGGAACGCGGCGGAGGCCGCGGCCTCCGAGGCCGGCCAGGCGTGCGCGGCCTCCTGCTCAAGGAGGGGCGACTGGAGAAACTCGACGAAGGTCCCGAGAGCGCCCTGCACCGACATGGGAGACCTGTAGGGGAACAACAAGTGGCATAAGCATAAAAACTCGGAGGTCCGCGCGGATCTCTCGGATCGGCACTGGGGCCCCCCGGCGGCGCCTCCGGCGCCGCCCCTGGCGCGCTCCGCGCGCCAGGGAGGGGGGTCCAGCGCCGATCCGAGAAATCCGCGCGGACCTCAGAGTTTTTGTGTTTATGCCACTTTCTGTTTCCGAGGCCTGGAAATGGGCACCAACACCAAGACAGGGGGTTGCCTCCACAGGGGAACGGTGGTCCTAGATTTCGGTGCTGGTGGTAATATTTCGGTCACCTCTGAAGCCAGAATATTACCACCATCACCGAGCTCGGGATCTTTTTCCCTCGGTGGAGGCACACCGACGATCTTGGTGTTGGTGTCAACCTCTAGGACTGCGAATGGAAGACCTGGGCCCTGAAGTTTGCGGCGGCCCTCGAAGATGGATCCGCGTCTTTGGCCGTACTGGCCGTTGCTCGTTCTGAGTGTGTGTTTCTCAGATGCTCGATCTGAGGACACGCCGATCTGAGCCAACAAACCTTACCCCGTGCCACCCTATGCACTTCGAAATCGTTTTCAACCCGCCTAATGACTTCTAACACTGCTTGTAAGATGCCGGAACACATTAATCAACATCAAAGCCATCTACAACCCACTTAAGATACGTACAACTGGGCCTTGGGCTTTCAGCTAGGAGGAGACAAATCATCTGTTTGACTTTGCCCTATGTTGGGGTCTGGCGGGGGGTGGCCCGGGAACAGACCATTTCCCAATGAGCCTTGCCTAATGACGTACTCCCAGACAGGGCAGCAGTCACCACACCCCTTACATCCCTTGTGGTACCAGGCCCAAGCCTCCCCACTCAGGCCCAACACTGGGCCAACAGGCGATGCCATCCGCGCGGGATGAGAACGGGGACGGCGAGCAATGGCCCCCGGGGGAGCACACACAGAGTCCCCCCCTCCCTCATTTAGTTTGAGGCCATACAATCGTTGTGGAATGACCTCGCTGGCATTGTGGCCCAGCGCGACGCGATCCTCCCTCTTGCAGTCCGGGCTGAGGGGTGCGCCGGCGTGGGGGAGACTGATTGAAATCTAAAGGCCCCCTTTTCACCCCTGGATGCGTCAAGGCTCGATTGAGGTCGGAAGGCCATCAGGGTGGCAGCGTTGCAGATCGGTTGAGGGCACACATAGATCCAACTGCATACTGGACTCGAAATGGATTTCACGGGGGCTTGCCCTGATGGATTCAACGGGGATTTGTGGAGGCCCCTCAACCGTTGGAGGGGGGGATGTGCCCATGGGCCTCAGGTCCCAGCTGCGGCGTAGTTTCGCTGGACCCCGTGAAAACTCAAGGGGCAACGGCCCCCCCTGGGATTTGATCGCACCTGGGGCTCACCACGGGGCTGTAGGAGAGAGGGTGATACATCATCAAACAAGGAACCAGCGAGACATAGAAAATTATTATCCCGGCAAAGCAACCTAACAGCGATGTGTAGGAGCATATCTGGAAGCATTCCCCTTAAGATTCAGATGAGAATCCAGTTGTAGAATTGTGCTGTTCTCGCAGTCGTAGTCGCATTCGCGATGACAGTCGCAGTGGCAACGGCAGTCACAGACACAGCCTCAGCCTCAGCCTGCCTCAGCCTCAGCCTCAGCCTGCCTCAGCCTCAGCCTGCCTCAGCCTCAGCCTCAGCCTGCTTCAGCCTCAGCCTCAGTCTGCCTTCAGCCTCGGCCTCAGCCTCAGGCTGCCTCAGCCTCAGCCTGCCTCAGCCTCAGCCTGCCTCAGCATCAGCCTGCCTGCCTCAGCCTCAGCCTGCCTCAGCATTCAAAATGTGGCCCGGGAATGGAGTTCTGGGAACTCGAAGAACACGAAGTGGCCTACAGTTGGCTCCGGGCATTCAAAATCATGCCCAGGAATGGAGTTCTGGGAACTCGAAGACCACGAAGTGGCCTACAGTTGGCTCCGGGCATTCAAAATGTGGCCCGGGAATGGAGTTCTGGGAACTCGAAGAGCACGAAGTGGCCTACAGTTGGCTCCGGGCATCAAAATGTGGCCCGGGAATGGAGTTCTGGGAACTCGAAGAGCACGAAGTGGCCTACAGTTGGCTCCGGGCATCCAAAATGTGGCCCGGGAATGGAGTTCTGGGAACTCGAAGAGCACGAAGTGGCCTACAGTTGGCTCCGGGCATCAAAATGTGGCCCGGGAATGGAGTTCTGGGAAGTCGAAGAGCACGAAGTGGCCTACAGTTGGCTCCGGGCATTCAGAATGTGGCCCGGGAATGGAGTTCTGGGAGGTCGAAGAGCACGAAGTGTGTGACTGTTGGCTTAAAACGACTTCTGCGGCACCCTGTCCGGCACCCGCCCAGACCCCCCTGTGGAGTCATCTGCTGCTCTCTTTTGACACCACTAGAAACCTATCAGAACAAGCTGTAAGGTAAACATACAACGAACGATACATGTAACGTTGCTATGCGTCGCTGTTTTTACCGGTCCGTCGAAAACCATACGTTCTTCCACCAAGGGCTTTCTGGGGAGATTCTGAAGGACTCGGAAATCGGTCGAAACAACGCTGTCGTGTTCATGAGATTGCAGCAGGTATGTCCATTGGGATGCACGCGCGCATAGGCCGAAGCCACATGACCCCACGGAATGAAAGCTTTTGGACTGGGTTGAAGAAGGCAGCAAGTTGCGAAGCGATCCTCGTGCGCATGCCATGGCGGACAAGGGTACGCGATCGTTGCTTCTCCGAAGTAATATCACATGGTAGATCTTCTCTTATTAGTATTAGACGCTCGTTTCGTGCTGGACTCGACACTGCTCGCCGCTGAGCGCCAGAAGCTGCAATCGCTGCGGTCGAAAGGCAGCACCAACCTTCTGATTGGGGAATCATACAAGAAACACTCGCGTGCGGCATCGCGCAGCTGGAGCAGTACAAGTGTAGACCGTGGCGGGCAATGGGCAGAGTGACGCCAGCGTCAGGTCCAGGTCCAGTGGCGCAGTGAGTATAGTTGCGCGAGCGCCTACTCTTCCTCCTTCCTCTTCTCCTCATCGTCCCGATTATCTGGAGGCAGCTAATTCGCGCTTCGCGCGGTTGGAAGCGCGAATAACTTTGCGCTTTTGCGCCGCCCCTAGGGGAGAACAATATCAAGAGGAGGAGGAAGAAACATGCGGAGGAGGCGAGAGCGCAGCGAACCGCGAAGTAAGAATCGCCCGCTTGCGCCCGATAGTCACTGGGTAGGTATCAGAAAAATCTGGGTTCCGAAAGAATAATAAAAAATTGCCCCGGCATCTCGCATGTACGGAGATACGGATGTACGATTTCCGGATGCGCGGTGAACTGAGTTCAGTAGTAGTAGTAGTAGTAGTAGTAGTAGTAGTAGTAGTAGTAGTAGTAGTAGTAGTAGTAGTATAGTAGCAGTCGTAGTATAGTAGCAGTAGTAGTAGTAGTAATAGTAGTAGTAGTAGTAGTAGTAGTAGTAGAAATAGTAGTAGTAGTAGTAGTAGTAGTAGTCGTAGTAGTAGTCGTACTAGTAGTAGCCGTAGTAGTAGTAGTAGTAGTAGTAGTAGTAGTAGTAGTAGTAGTAGTAGTAGTAGTGGTCGTAGTAATAGTAGCAGTAGTGGACGTAGTCGTAGTCGTAGTAGTAGTCTTACTTTTAGTAGTCGTAGTGCTAGAAATAGTAGTCGACGTCGTAGTAGTAGTAGTAGTAGTAGTAGTAGTAACAATAGTCGTCGTCGCAGTAGTAGTAGTGATAAGTAGTCATAGTGATATCAGTAGTAGTAGTAGTAGTAGTAGTAGAAGAAGTAGTGGTAGTAGTCGTAGTGGTAGTAGTAGTAGTAGTAGTACTAGTGATAGTAGTAGTAGAGGTCGTAGTAGTAGCAGTCGTAGTAATAGTAGAAGTAGTAAAAATAGAAGAAGAAGAAGTCGTAGTAGAAGCCATGTAGTAGTAATCGTGTTAGTAGTCGTAGTCGTAGTAGTAGTAGTAGTAGTAGTAGTTGTCGTAGTAGTAGTAGTATGATGCTTAGTAGTCGTAGTAGTAGCAGTAGTAGTAGTAGTGCTAGGTGTAGTAGTAGTAGTAGTAGTAGTAGTAGTAGTAGTAGTAGAAGTAGTCGTAGTAGTAGTAGTAGTAGTAGTAATGGTAACAGACTTCGTAGTAGTGGTAGTAGTAGTAGCAGTAGTAGTAGTAGTAATAGTAGTAGTAGTAGTAGTAGTCGCAGTAGTAGTAGTAGTAGTAGTAGTAGTAGTAGTAGTAGTAGTAGTAGTGGTGGTAATAGTAGTGATAAGTAGTGACAACGGTGATAGTAGTAGTAAAAGTAGTCGTAGTAATAGAAGTAGCAGTAGTAGTAGGTTCGTCAGTGGTGGTACTTGTAATTACAAAACGAGCAGCCATAGTTAGAGTGGTTAACGTAGTAGTAGAAAGATTCGTAGTGCTAACATTAACAGTAGTACGCGTAAGAGTGGTACTACTCGTAGTCGTGGTAGTAGTAGCAGCAGTAGTAGCAGTAGTAGCCGCCGTAGTAGTACTAGTAGTAGTAGTAGTAGTAGGTCGTAGTATTACAAGTGATCGTGGCAGCAGTAATGCTAGTAGTGGTAGTAATACTCGTACAAGCAAACATAAAAAAGTAATCGTTCTGTAAAAGTAGTAGTAAGCGTAGCAGTGGCAGGAGGGGTTGCAATACTGAAAACTACGATGGTGTCACAATAGGTAGCACAGGTAATCGCCGTAGTAGTAGTAGTGGTGCTAGTCGTCGCATTAGTAGCAAGAGTGATAGTAGTACTCGTAAGAATAATGGTAGTCGTAATGAAAGTCGTACTAGAAGTAATAGTAGCCGTAGTAGTAGTAGTAGTAGTAGTAGTAGTAGTAGTAGTAGTAGTAGTAGTGGTAGCAGTAGTAGTAGTAGTAGTAGTAGTAGTAAGCGTAAGAAGAGGAG